TGGTTTTTCTCCGGTACCGGGAACCGAACTCACGACCTTGCGCTTGCCAGGCAGGCGCTTTTGCCACTGAGCTAAATCCCCAGCCCCGATAAAGCTATCTTTATTGCTTCAGAATCAAGAAAGCTGGGATTACAGGCATGTGCTGCCACCATGCCTAGCCCTTCACATTATTTTTAAAAATTGGGGAATATAATATTAGTGTTCATTTTTTCCCCTCTCTACTGCTTCTGTGTAAAAGGTCTCTGTTGACATTATTTATATGCTTGACTACTATTATATGGCAGTTTAATGTTTGATAAAAAGCAGAGATGTCCAGGCATGGTGGCGCACACCTGTAATCCCAGCACTCGGGAGGCTAAGCCAGGAGGATCATTTTGAGTTCAACACCAGCCTGGGCTACAGAGTGAGCTCAAGGCCAGCCTGAACTGCATAGCGAGACCCTGTCTCAAAAAGACAGAAAAAAAAAGCAGAGATGGAAGTAGTGGTTAGATATGTATAATGTAACATTAAAGTGATTACTTTGCCTCTGGTTTGTTGATAGTAATTTTCCTTCTTTTTTTTTCCTGCCTTTTTGAGACAAGGTCTCACTATGCAGTTCAGGCTGGCCTTGAGCTCATTTTGTAGCCCAGGCTGGCCTCAAACTCAACAGCGATCCTCCTGCCTCAGCCTCCTGAGTGCTAGGATTACAAACAGTAATTTTCTTTTTTCTTTTTCTTTTTCTTTTTTTGAGACAAGGTCTTGGTATGTAGTTTAGGCTGGCCCAGAATTTATAATGATCTTTCTCCCTCAGCCTCCCGAGTGCTAGGATTACAGGCATGTGCCACCACGCCCGGCACAAAGAATTAATTTTTTAAAGAAACCAAAGTTTTGCATGTACATTATGTTAAAAGTATCATGAAAAGCAACCTTATTTGTTTTGTTTTGCGGAGGATAGAACCTAGGGCTTAACACATGCTAGGTAACATCTCAGCCCTAAAGGCAACATATCTTTATATTCTTTCCTGAGAGGAACAGCTTGCTTCCTTTCATTCTTTGTTTTTTTTTTTTTTTTTTTTTTCTTTTGCCATGGGGTGCTGCTGGCCTTGAAATTGAAGGCTCATGTGATTCTCCTGCCTCAGCCTCCCAGGTACCAGGGACTGTAGGCATTGGCCCACCAGACCCAGCTGGGAGGGAAATATTTGTTCTTCCTAACACTTGAGTAGTGGATACAGTCCAACTTTGAAAATAATATTTATTGAAGTAAAACATACATTCAGAAAAGTGTACAAATCGTAAATATTTGGATGTGCCCAAAGTGCACATCTACATCAAGAAATGGACCCCCAGAGGCCCCCTCCCATGGTTGCCATTCCTGAGTTTTAGTGCCATGAGGCAAGTTGGCCTATCTTCCTCCAGCAGATACCCTCTGGCATCTGCCTGGTGTTGTCAGCTCTGTGAAGCTTCTTTTCTGGCAGTGTATTCCTGTTTCCTGATAGTGCGAATGGACTACATTTTCTCCATCGTCCTTCTTGAGGACTTGGGGTGAATTCCATCTTAGGGCCACTACACGTAGTGCCGGTTTAACATTGCTGGCCTTTGGGTGTATACATGTGCACACGGCATGAAGGCCTGGGAGTCACCTTAACTGGCTTGGAAGGCATCCATATTGCCAGAGAGCTTTTCAAAGTGCTGGTGCCAATTCTTGCAAAAGCACAGTGCTTGATTTATTGACATTAGACTATAAAAGCAAGGTTTTAGCTTCCTTAAACTTTCCTCCATCTGTTCCTACTCTGATATTTTAAGTTATTCATAGTTCTTCAGTGGTATATGTTACAACTTGAAATAACAGATCTCTGCTCTCCCTTTTTTTGTCTTTCTGAGAACAGGGTCTCGCTATACAGTTCAGACTGGCCTTGAGCTTACTTTGTAGCCCCAGCTGGCCTCAAACTTGCAGTGATCCTCAGCCTCCCAAGTGCTGGGATTATAGGCATGTGCCACCATGCCCCCGCCCCCTTTTTAAGAGAAGGGGTCTTGGTATGTAGTCCAATCTGCCCTTGTACTCACTATGTAGCCCAAGCTGGCCTCAAATTTGCAGTGATCCTCCTGCCTCAGCCTCCCAAGTGCTGGCATTACAGGAGTGTGCCACATACCTGGCTCTCCCATTAAATTTTGTTTGTTTGCTGTTCAGAGGATCAAACTCAGGGCCTTATATATGCCAGGTAAGTACACTAACACGGAGCTATTTCCCCACCATTTCATGATGTTGGTGATAACGATGATAATGATTTTTGGCAGTACGCATGATTGAACTCACGGCTTTTGAATGGAACTACATCTCTAGTTCTTTTTCTTTTTTTTCTTTTGAGACAGGGTCTTGGTAATTTGTTGTTTTTTTTTTTTTTTTTGTTGTAAT